TGAAAAAATAAGTAAATATATAACATGTGTATGTGCCTTGTGTTGTGATTTTTTGTATCTTATGTTATGAAATTATGTACCTTACGAGTATGAACTTTATATTTTGTTGTTTCGATCCAAGATCCATAATACTATGTGGACCTGTTCCATGATATAAATTGCGGCTTGTAGGGCGTAAAACGTAACATTAATGATGACCACCTCATTTAGTAACTTCCTATCATTAGAGATTTATATAGTAAGGGGGAATTATAATTCATATATGCCCCTCACAAATATGCCAATTATCAATGTCACTACTGAATTATTAATTTATTAGTGGTGTAAATGTTGTCTCTCAATTTTCAAAACATGACATATATTGCTCCTCCCGTAATAGGAAAAAAAGAGATTGAAATATAGTTGTCGGCGGAAGGGGAACAGATGAAGAAATAAAAATAGAGGAAAAAAAACGTGGTCTTCGAATAGAGAAAACGACGGGTAACCATATTTGCACTACTAATAATTCAGGGAAGGGACAATATAGTCACATTTTGAAAACTGAGGGCAACGTTTGTAGCGAAATAATCCTACGAAAAGATTATTTCTGGAAAAAATACAAGCACAAGCAACAAAAGGTTTAGGGTTAGTACGAGTCAAGCGAAACACTTATTCCTTAAAAGTTTATTTGCTATCTTCCAAAGGTGTTAGTAGCGTTGTAGCCTAGGTTTCCCAAGATAAAACGTACTACGACTCAATGTTTGAGCACTCAAACAAGTGAGCCCGACTAACTAGAACACTGGTATAACACATACAGAGGAGGGGGAAGATAAGTAGGGTTTTTAAGAGCAAAGTATATGTGTATGTATGCTGTGAAAAATCCACATGCTCACCCAAGGCTTATATGTGAGTGTTAGATATTATAAATGGTAGTAATATATTTAGCATGATATTAGGGGTTAATGTGTATATTCTTAGGGATTAGGTTCCGATCCTTACCTTTGTTAGTATATAGTTTCTTGTATAAATATATATATTCCTTAGTCTAAGTTATATGAAAAACATGGAGTTCTCCATTTGACTAAGGAGAAAGGAGGATAAATAACATTTATCATGACATTAATACTGATAATAAAATCACTCTATGCAACCTTCATAACAGACAACCATTACTCTGGAAATTAATTCTAAAATTTAAAATTGGAGTTAATTTAATCTCTAAAAATTGGAATTAATCTGTAATTAATTTTGTAACATCAGAATTAATATCCAGAACGGTACTCCAAAGAGTGGTTTGAATAGTGAGTAGTTCGAATGTTAACTACTCCAAATGGTACCTTTAAAAGGTACCCGAAAGGTTATTGTTGGTTTTACGGCTTCGGGTAGCTGCTCGGCGGGCCAACACTACCGTAAAACTTAGGGTTTTGTGTGAAGAAAAGGAGATGCAGTTGAGAAAGAATAATGTCGTATTATTCCGTTTCCTCCTATACATGATGATCCCGTGGGGATATTTATACAAGAATGCAAGATTCCTACATGGAAAGTATGGCTGACGTGGAGCTAGGTCACTTAGGGAATCCGGCTTCATTAATGTCAAAGATACCTAAACAAGTAAAAGAAACTACTTGCATTAAATGAGGAAAGAAATCTCCGTGAAATATGCTCCTAACCGCCGAGACTCAGTCGAGAACGCTATGATTGCCTGAGGAGGGGCTATGGCACTCAGGCAAGGACACACCAACCGCTGAGCCTGGTTGCCCAGCTAAATCCTCCAGGGGTACCCGGTCGGGGACACACCGACTACTGAGTCTGGTCGCCCATCCGAATCCCTGGAAGGGATCCGGTCGGCGATGCGCTGACTACCAAGAGTAGTCGTCCAATCGAGTCCTATGTGCGAACCCAGCCGAGGACACACCCACTACTGAGCCTGATCGCTTTACCCGAGCCAGCCAACCTTCGTCGAGTAAGCGCCAATCCGCTGGACGACTGGTTATCAGGGATGACTAGTTACAATCGACCGGGCGCTCCACGCGACAATCGAGAACCGTGGGTGTCATATTTCTTCTCAAATTGCTAAGTATCGTGCCGCACTCGAACCCGACTACCTTGCCTCATACTCCAGACTGGATGTCCGATTTGGGGGTATCTATCACCACTCCCTCACTTTTTCAGGTCTAGCCAGGGGATGACTTGAAAAAAGTAGAAAACATGTATCGAGGTGGCCCGACCGCCTTGCTGTCTTCGTTCAAGCAAGCCCGTTGCACGCCTGGTCGGGAGTTTATTCTTCTTCCGACTGACCTCACTTTTTCCGACTAGTTATGCGACGCCGTTGTAGTGTACGGCGACCCCTTAAATTTTGCCGATTACGATTTCGAGATGTAACACCCCGCTACGCCCTTTAAAGTCGGATTAATTATTTAATTAATCCCGTAAAGAATAGTTCAAAAGGATTTAATTTAATCAGGATCCTTTAATTAATTAATGTGGTTCATGGAGGATCGTGGACCCTTACCCATATTGAAGCCTCAAGCCTATTAGAATAAGGAAAGAAGGCCCATTATTAATCAGATTCTGATTAGGATTCCTAAAACTATTTAAAGGGGATTAGAAAACATTTAGAACCCTTTCTCTCCCATCTCTCTCTACCACTCGAAAATCCCCTCCCAGAATTTAGACAAAGAATTCTCCGTCACCAAGCTTAGGAAAGATTGATAGGAAGAAGACCTTGAGGAAAGATCCTAGAAGTCATAAGAAGTTTAATTAAGACTAAAAGGTAACCCATGTCTTACAACACCTATTTTCCTTACTATCTTTTAATGATTGGCTCCTTTGAATGATTGTATGTGTGATTTCATAACTATGCCTTGATAGAGCTTGTTTTTAGGATTTATGATGTGGATTCTTGCTATTCTTGATGTTCTTGATGATCTTGTGTATGTTCTTGTGTTTAATTATGTTAGAGATTGTCCTTAGAATATATATTGTGAGTCTTGTTGATTCTTGATGTTCTTGGCATCCTTGGGTGGGTATTTGCATGTTCAGGTGTTATTCAAGGTTTAACAACTCGTCTTTAGGGTTTTATATGATGGCTCCTTGTTGTTCTTGAGGTTCTTGATGCTCTTGAACCATTATGTGTTTATCCTTGAGTCTTGGCATGTTTAGAGTTTGCGTTTAGGGTTCGATTGTGTTGTTTCTTGGCTTATTCTATGTGTTCAAGTCCCTATTGTTGTTGATATGTGTTTGGGCGTGTTGGGACTTGATTTTGGATAAAATTGGGGATTTCCCGAGTTAGGAAAAATGCCAAGATGGGACGTTCCAACGGGTAGTCGGTGGGGGGAAGAACCCCCACCTGACCACCCGCCAGAACGGGGGTGCTGTTCCAGCGGGGGGACGGGCGGGTGGAAGGCTACCCGCCGGCGGGAGGTCGGTGGGTGGTGGTCCACCCGCCATTCCACCCGCTGGTACGGTCCGGCGCGGGGTTGTTCGGTCTCCATTGGGTCGAACTCCGTGCCCCGAGGTGTCTTCTTTGATGTTTTGTGGGTCTAGTATGATGTCTTAAGTACCGTAACATGAATTGTGAGGTCGTGTCTTTGCATGTGGCCCATACTCGTATCGTGTAGTGCCAGAGTATGGTCTATAATGGTCTTTATGTGCCTTGTGGGCATCTTGAAGGCACTTGTTGTTGAGGGTCAATGTGTATGATGTGCCCTTCCCCGATCATCCCCTTATGGAGTCGTTGTCGAGTCTTGCTTGTGTGTTGTTGTCCATGATGAGAAAAGATATGTGATTGGTGGAAAAGATAAGATTGATGGTTGATGCACTACGTGTGCTTGTGTGTGATGGTACTATGGTACCGGTATGTGATTTAAAGGCATCACGGATGCTATGAGATCGGTGGTTATGCGGGAGGTCATGTAGGCGAAGGGCATGCATTGCCCCGGGGGGATAAGGATGTGGTGTGTAGGGTGGCCTGGAGGTACAGGTTGGAACTGTTATAAGATTGGAGAGGCGTAAAGGTTGGAACATGGTATAAGGTTGGAACATGGACATGTTTGTTGCTGTTGTTTGTCAAGTCTTATTGTTGTCTTCTCTTGTCTTGTGGTCTTAGTTGCATGCTTATGTCCTTATGTGTCTTGCCGTGTTGACTCTGTTGATGTCTCTTGAGTCTTATTCCTGGTTTTGAAGCTAGAGTCGTTTATGACTATATCTATGTATTCCCAAGTCTCAAAATAGTTTCTTATATCTATATGTATTGTACTCAACGTGTGTGAGTGGGTTAGTTAGCATTATTCGCTAACGGTTGTGATACCGCATGTTTTTCAGGTACTGATTAGTTGGCCGAGAGAGCGCTAGAAGGAGCTACGGTTCCTAGCTTAGTTAGTTCTAGCTTAGTTAGACAGCCTGGGAGCCATGCTTGTATTTGGATAATAATTATGATTTATGTTTTGTTTAGTTAGTTTTAGCCTGTGCACACTAGTACAAAATAGAGCAAAGAAATATGATTTTAGGCTACCCTTCTTTAAACAAGGGTAGTGTATTGTTAAAAAAAAAGGGACAATGGCATATTTGTAAATAAATGAATATGAAACCGCTACCCTTTAAAAAAAAAAGGGTAGCGATTTTTTCTTCTAAAAAAAAGACGGTGGCATAATTGTAAATATGAATACTTTCCACTGCCCTTCCCCGTAGAAAGGGTAGCGGGGAAACAAAAATAAAAAAAAAAAGATCTCGCTGACCTAGCTGCGCTCACTCTCATATCTCACCTCTCCTCAACGCGTCTTCCTGCCTCCACCGTCACTCTCACCACACCTCCGTCGTCGCTGCGCTCCTTCCCACAGGCCACACCTCCGTCGTCGCCCTCACCAGCGCCTCCCTCATCCTCCCACGACGCCGCTTACACCGCCTCTCTCACCACGACTCCCTCAGCCTCGACTAAAAACCGTCGCCGCCACCAAGATAAGGATCCAACGCCTCTCTCATCAGCCACCCACGACCCCGCCACCACCCTCGCCACTGCCGCCGCTGCTTCTGTGACTTCCACCGTCGGCAGCTGGTCAACAGAACTGTACGTGCAGGTAATTTTTTTTTGTTAAAATTATTTTTTATAATTATCATTGTAATATATATTATATTTGTTAATTTTTATTTCGAATTTTTAGTTATTTGTTGTTATTTTTGTTGTTATACCCTAATATGTGTAAAGATATGAATTTAGTTGTTATTTTTGTTGGGATTATATAGTAATGTGTGCATATATGGTATAATATATGACTAGAAGTACGAATTTTGGTTATGAATTTTGATTATTATTATTTTATTTAGAATTTTGACATTTTAATTATTTATTTTTGAATTTTAATAAATGTTGTGTGAAATAGGTATTTTGATAAATTGTTTATTTTTTATTTGATGAAATATGTATTTGATAAATTATTTATGATAAATATGTTGTTTGATGAATAAATATGGCATAATTGTATATTTGATGATAGGTATTTATTTGAACATAGCTGGCATAAATCGGGAACATTGATATGTTTGGTTCTCAGCCGATCACAAGTAGGAAGAGAGGAGGAACAAAGCTGCCAAAAGAAAGTCTTTAGCTTTGGAGGGAGTTTGAATTTCCAGAATCTGGTCCAAATTGGGACTTGGACAGAACTGAAATCACCTGCAAGAGTATTATAGCAACTACGCACAGTGTAAGTACCCTTATCATCCTCCGTCCATATAATTTTATCCTTTTAACTTGCTGTCTGGAAGAGGGATACTCTTTATGAGGTTCACATCACTTTGGTTGAAAAGAGTATTAATAAGGGTGTCATTCCATGATGAATTTCCAGGTTGGATAAGGGCAGCAACTTTAGTGATTCCAGATTGAATGGGTGCAAGGGGCTGAATGAATGGTTGGTTCTTGTTTGGCATAGATGTCAACCTTTATGCATTGGTGTTTGATGAATCTGTTTTAAATGATGCAGTAAGTGAGGAGTTTGGTAATTCTCTTTGCTAATTAGCTTCTTTTTTTAAAAAAATGTTTTTGTGTTGCACAACTGGAAGATGGAAATTTCTCTATACAGGTCAGTTTAGTTGAAATGCTTTTCTAATTAGACTAATGTAGGAGATCTGGCCAAAGTGGTTAGAGATACGCAGTTATCTATTTATTTGTGCATATTTTTTGAAATGTAGGAGATCTCCTCGGTCCTCTCCTAGTAACCAGGACAGAGCTGGACCATCTGATTTTCAGTATTTCTCTGAATCCTTAAGTAGTTTAGATGGTGATCTTGAAAGAGTGAAAACTGGATTTAGAAAAAAGAAGAAATGGCATGCTTCAGATGATGATTTTTCCTCAGGTTCAGCTTAGGCCTGCAGACAGTGTAGAGAAGGCTTCTAAAACTGCTGAGATAAACCCGAGGAAAATCAAGATGAGGAGGTATGTTTCTTGTACATTCTATGACCTATTGACTTTGACTGCTCATATTATGATACTAATTATCTAACTCTTAATCACAAGTGACCCAAGTCTGTGGTTTCTATTGATCTGTTGAGTCTGAGGATAGGGCATCACCATCACTTTAACTTGTATTGTTTATTGGCCATTGGCCATGGTGTAGCTTTGTTTATTATTATTATTATTATTATTATTATTATTATTATTATTATTATTATTATTATTATTATTTACTTTCAAAGGTACAGATGTATTTTAGTTGTTAACCTCCCATAAATGCTTGAAAAATGCATCTCCTCTACCCAAAGTGGAACAATTCTGTGTTAGTTTTCAGCAAAGTATATTAGTTCTAACTTCTCTACTAGAATTTTTATGATGGGCTTTTTGTGTGATCAAGTTGGATTACCCGTTTTTCTATTCTGTTTCTGGTTCAGACTAGAAAAGTAAATCCAAGAGAACTCAACCCATATTTGAAGGATAAACGCTTTAAAGCGAGTTAAAGAGCAAGCTGCTCTCGAAGGACGAAAGTTGGATGAGGTAGATACTCATGGATTGCTGTTAGAATTTTGTTTAGTAGTCTCTAGCATGCATATTAGTATATAATGCAGTAAGTGTTATTACAGGTAGTTGAAGAATTGTGGGGTTCATTGAGTCAACTAGCTGTTTCTGTTGCATCCCGCAAAGTTGCCCCAAACCATGCTCATCTTCATGCCATCAAAAGTAGAAGGGGTGTAATGGGAGAGTGATCTGTTGAGAAGGTAATTCTCTAAATTAACTACTTTAGTCACCTTAATTCTATGTCATATGTGTGTTTTGTCTTAATGTATTCTAATGTTTTATTGATTCTTGTTTCTTCCAACTCCCATACTTCGTATAAGCATTGTCCTTAAAATCTCTAGATTCAATTTTTTTTTAATAAATAATTGTTGACTCTGGGTTGTTTGATTGGAAGTTTTCTAACTTTAATGACTTTCTATACTATGAGGATTATTGGGTTTTTGTCTTGTGACCTTAAAATAGTTGAATTTTGATGGGTGTCTAAGTTTTCAATCTGTATTAGGCTGGTTTGGTGCACAGCGTTCATTTTACATAATAAGATTAAACTAAGAAGTTCTTGCAGCAAACCCCAACAAGATCTCTGTTAAGGCTTATTTGAGTAGAGATAAATGGGATAATCAATTAGAGAGACAAATGCTCTATCTTCTTAACATATGTCTAAAAGAAGCAATTATTGGGTCAAGGACTGTTGGTCATTATAGTTTTCTGGTATGAGTTTAGGTATACTTGACTTTTATTGAACTATAATACTATAGAAGCACTACTTGATGATCACTTGATAGCTGTCCAAAGGGATCATTAACATAGTTCCCAAATGAAGAAAGGAGAATAAGAACTTTGACATTTGAGGATAAGCTGATATGTCTAGGTGACAGATATTAGTAATCAAACTACTAACTAAAGGAATTCCTCCAGGTTTTAGATTGTTTAGTTGTTATTAGTGCTTTTCTTCTCCAGTTCCCCCATATTTGTTGTTTCCACCTTCTAGAGAACCTGCAACTATAGTTTGAATTTGGTAATTTTATTGTTGTGAAACATTATGAAAATCTCTCAAAAAACTGTAGGAATGAGGAATAGACTTGGATTCTCTGTGAATGAAAATATGCTTGCCTATTTAGATGATAATTTTTTTTGTAAAGTTAATATAGCAAAATGTTTGGGAGAGTTAATTTTCTTCTGATTCTTGCTCATGAGCTATTTAATTTACTATTTTATATTATGAAGATACTTAAGTTTTTTTTCCTGGCATAAAATGACTATTGCAGTGTACTACAGAAGTTGGATCTGCAATGTCCTATTCTTTTCCTGATATATTTGACTTAGTTTTAGCTCCCTTGTGATAGATTTATAACACCTGTTAAACTTGGAATCAATTAGCTGTGATTCATGTGCTTGGCTATTAATGAATCTAATTTATATTTATATATATCAGTAATGCACTTATTTGTTTCAAGTGAATTTCATACATCTTTTTTTACTATATACATTGTACTAGTTCTGCTTAATCGTTCTTATATTGGTTGTATTGAAATATTGATGATTATCATTAGTTAATTAGGATATATTATTAATGGTTGGATTAAATTGATTATTGTGAATGATTAATTTAGATTATGTTGAATATGGGCGAAAGATTTTGTTGTGAATTGCGTTATATTATGAATATTATTGTAGGATTGTAGTATTATGTTGATGTGTAGTGTATGAATTCCGTATAGGATTTAAAAAAAATAAAATTGAGAAATTTAAATATAATAATGATTTTTTTTTAATTTATAAAAAACAATCCGCTACCCTTCCTTTTAAAGAAGGGTAGCGGATTGTTTTAATAAATTAATGGTATTCGCTACCCTTCCTTTTAAAGAAGGGTAGCGGATTCTTAACTTTCCGCTACCCTTGTTCAAGGGTAGCGGAAAGCTCAGGGTTTTCAGCGACCCTAGTATCCGCTACCCTTGTACAAGGGTAGTGGATAGCCCTTTACAAGGGTAGCGGATGTGCAAATCTGTACTAGTGGCATCTAGGTTCTCAAGCTTAGATGTGGCATAGTACCCTGACACTTATGTTTAGCTTCTGCTCTGTTTTGGGTATTAATGATAGCTTTATCCTTATTTCGTAAGCTTTAATAGTTTTAAATTATGTCGAAAATTGGGGGTGTTACAGTTGGTATCAGAGCTGAAGTTCGACCATACGTTAATGTCTTTAGGATAAGACTTTAAGAAGTTAAGCTTGAACTCTAGGTGTTTAGGTACTTAGGATGTAAGAATTTTAGGACGCGCGTTGTGATTGTGAGTTTATTTATAGCTTCATGTTAAGTTTCCTGTGCTTGTTCCTTGTTTAGCTTTAGTTCTTTTAGTTAAGGCACCAAGTAAAGGTGCAAGTATATACGTTTGCCTCCGTAACCGAATGGAGTACATCTCCTAGTAAGTTGCTCTGTCCCGGTATGTTACGATTACAACTACGACAAAAAGGAAAGAGAACCAGGACGCCTATCGATGCAAGGGGGTGAAGTAGCGGATGAACAACGCTGTTGGTTAATCTTCGGTGCAAGTTGTGTATATCGTGATATCTTGCGAGCCCCTACCTCAGTTGAATTATCATTCGCCTTTTAACCTCAGCCTCTTGATACTCCTATTTGTTGAAACCTCTACTACGAATCCTTGGTTATTCTTGTGAGAGATTAACACCCGTCATGCCTTGGTATACCCTTTGTTGTACCTAACGCGAATCTTGGAAGCCTTAAATTATTATGAGCTTGGAATCATTGCCAGTGCTCTAATTTTATATCCCTTTCTTTTGGAACCCTTGTTAACACCATACAAGTGGTATAAATCCTTTGCTTTGCCCGGTGGCATGGGAGTTGGCGTTTATTGGGTTGGTATTAAGACTATTGCTAAGAAGGGTTCGGTGGGTTAGGCGGAGGTGACATATGCGTAGAAGGTGTCGTGCACTAGGCTTCACCGCAGTGAAAGTCTTGCCTTGGTATAAAGACCTTGATGGTTTTAACATACCATAAGAAGTGCATGCGGCGCACCAGGTCGCCAATGTCATGCGACGTCGAGAACAGTCAACCAAATACATTCCAAGAAAGAGAAAGGCGTCACTAAGCGTTTTGATCGCTAAAGGATTAAACGGGATCGGACGACAAGCCGAACCTCAAGAAGACCAAGAGGGCTTGTCGTTAACGAAAACAAGAAGAGACAAAATTGGATTATAGCCGACTACCACATGAAGATTGCAAGGTTATTAACAGTGATCAAGACTCGACCTACTAAACAGTTAGTAAGGACGAGAGTGAATCATTTGACAAGGAATCACGGAATGTCTCAAGATGTTGACTCTGGTAAAGACCTTGACTTACGTCACGCCTTTAGAAAAGTACTACCGATTGCTTTTGATGTGAGATTGCAGTTGGACTCCACGATTCCTCCAACTAGAAATGGTTGACAAGAAGGAGTCATGCAAACTAAGGAGTTATGTTTGGGGGGCTTGTACTATGGACTTACAAAGGTCTTAAGTCAAGCACTAAGGATGGACCTAGTTTCTTACGATAATGGCGAAACTAACATTAAAATCCAAACAGGGCAGAACTAAACACTAGCGTCGGGGTGCTATGCCACATCTAAGCTAGAGAACCTAGATACACAGGCTACTAATTAACTAATAAGTCATAATCTACGAACATTATCTGAATACAACAACTGGCTCACAGGCCATCAACTAAGGCTAGCTGCTACGTAAACTAGGAACCGAAGCTCCGACTAGCGCGCTCACGAGTTGACTAATCAGCACCTGAAGAACATGCGGTATTACAACCGCTAGCGAATAATGCTAAGCAACACACTCCCACGCGTTGAGTACAATACATATAGATATAAGAAATCATTTTGAGACTCGGCACGACAAGGCACATAAAGACACCGCATACAATCAAGACCATAAAACAAGATAATCAACTATAACAAGTAACAAGATACATCAAGGCCACACAACAAGACACGCCCAGGTTCCAACCTTATACCAAGTTACAACCTTTACGCCTCTCCATCCTTATAACAGTTCCAACCTGTACCTCCAGTCCACCCTGCACACCACACCCTTTGTAACACCCCATGTTACGGCCTTCAATCCCGGATTAATTATTTAATTAATCCCGTTAATAATAATTAAATATGATTTAATTTGTTAGGTTTCCCTTTAATTAATTAATAAGGTCCACTATGAACCGTGGACCCTTGCCTAAATTAGAGTCTTAAGCCTATTAGGAATAAAGAAAGTAAACCTTTTACTATTCAGATTCTAATTAGAAATCCTTGACCTAGTTATCTATTAGGAATAAAGGAAGTAGGCCTTTTACTATTCAGATTATGATTAGGATTCTCTTTAATTAATTAATACGGTCCACTATGGAACATGGACCCTTATCCCTAAAACAAGTCCTTAGTCCTATAAGGAATGGAATTAGCAAGCCCATAGTATTTAGACCCCAATTATGACTCTTAGGAATATATATATACATACATACATATATATATATATATATAGGATCATAGGAGGCACCTAAATCTTACACCACAATAATCTCTCACCACACAAGAAGTTCCAAGAATCCCCTTAGGAGAAATCAAGAAAGAAAAAAGCTTAAAGAAAGACCTTTCATAGCCAAGAAATTAATTAAGGCTAAGAGGTAACCCATGTCTCAACAAAACCTATTTTCATAGCTATGATTCCCCTCTTAGGATTTCCCTATATTCTTGTGTATTGATGATTCGTATATTGTTCTTGACGATTGGTGTTATAATTCTATGGGCGATCTTGATAATCTTGTTGATGAAAAATGGATTCTTGATGATTGTGTGATTCTTGATGGAACCTAGTTTCTTGATGATTATGTGTCATCCTTGATTGTTCTTGATGTTTAAAGAGGAATCGTGTTCTTGTTAAATTGAATGTGTCTAGAGCCCTAGGCCGTAACGTGAAATTTGTATGGTGTTATTCTTGATGTATTGGGTGGGAATTCGCATGTTCGGGTATTAAATTTGTTTAAAAAAGCATGATAGGATATGTGACGTATGTTTCCCGCTTTTGGTCCGTTAATTGTGTACGTGTTGTTATCAATTGCGTTTGAAAGTGTCTAAGCATGGTTCCGGGTTCCACTAAGGTTCGCGTGGCGTTTTTGTGATGAAAGAGTCAGTGGGGGGTAGGTGGGGGTAGGGGACCCGCCACCTACCTGCGGCCAACGTTGAAGTCGCCGGCAGCGGGCAGCCGACTGCCCGCCGGGCACCCGCTGCCCGGAACCACGACGCCGGCTGGTGACCCCTCACCCACTGGCTACCCGCTGGATTTTACCCCATTTTGGGATTTTGGCTTCCCCGTTTGATGTTCCCCCGACCCCCTTGGTGTCCCAACGGACTCCGTCTATCGTGCCTAAGTCTAGTTGATGTTTCGGGTACCGTTCGTAGGATAAATGAGTCTTATATATCGCATGCTAGTTGAATTGGTATCCCGTTGGCCTAGGTGAAAGAAGTATG